AACACAGAGCAAGGATGCCTCACCACAGTCCCTGAGCGGTGGGGGTAGAGGGCCCCGTGGAAAGGGGTCCGAGTCCCAGGCCACCTCCTTAGAGTCTCCTCTTCAGGAAATGGGGACGATGGCAGGAGCTGGTCCTGAGCAGGGAAGGGCATGCTATGGATCCCTGAGCAATTCCAGTTTCTATTCGGAGCAGGGACAGGGTGCAGGCAGCTGGGCCCCTGTGCAAATCAGCCTGTGACCTGCCCTACCCCCCAACCCATGATTGCGCCTTGTCCCCAAGCCCACAACCTCTCCCACCAGTGGTTTCCTGGGGCTGAGGGTTGTCTGAACAGCCCTGTCTAACACAGACACACCCCAAGTGTGTGGGCCCATGTGTGTCCTTCATCCGGCCCCTGAGAAAGCACTGACCTGTCACTCGATTTCCACAATGACCCTTTGAAATGGACAGAGAATATCTGAGTCCCACTTGATCTGCTAAAACAAACACACAGCCAGGCTAAGAGTGCACACTCCTCTTGGAGTTACCCTGAGATGCTGCCAGGGTGGAAGCTCCTATCCTCAACAACTCCGTGCTCAAGATGTGGGGGAACATGTCTCCCTGCCCAGACAGTTGCCCCTGGGCAGGAGGACTGTGACAGGCAGCTGAGGATCCGCTGGCCTTGGTGGGTCCAGGTGAGCACAGACCATGGCCCTGTTGATGCAGGGGTTGCTGCATCTCCTTTGAAGACAGATCTGCCCACCGTTCCCTAAACCTAGCTCTTGCCAGATCGTGGAAGAGTGCTAGAGGAAGGGCTTCCTGAACTACCAGCGTCAGCCTCAAGGCCACGGTGAGGAGAGCGCATGGCTGCAGGATCTGTCCCCTGCTGGTCCCTCAGCCTCTCTTCTTGGATTTGAACCTCAGCCTGTGCCGTTAGCAAGGTGAGAACAGCCATCAGGGTGCACCTCACAATAGCAGGAAAGGGTGGGCCTCCCCTCTGGGCCTCCCCCAGACCTGAGCCATCACTGGGAAAAGATGGGGCTCCAAGTTGGCCTCAGCAGTCAGGATTTGTCCAGAGGTGCAAGTGGGTCACCCCTTCTGCCTCATCTGGGGGCAGACAAGAGCAGACAGAGTCGGCTCAGCCAGGCACCAGGACATGAGGGCAGCCCCACGTGTGTGGCCAGCCTCTGAGCTCAGGACTCACGGCCAGTGCGCCTGATCCTGTGAGCCAACACGCCACCCAGCAGCAACCACACTGACTTCCCAGAGCCACCAAGGCTTCTTGCCCAGGCCTTGGGATGGAGGCGGCATTTCTAAGCTGGCCCTGCACACCTCCCTGCAGCCCCATCCAATCAAGGAACAAAACATTTCCGTTAGCACAGCGTGTCCTGCTGTGGCACCTCCCCTCCGGGTTCCAGAATCACTGACAAGGTAGGGAAGGATGGAGCGAGCAAGAGATGCTCCTGGCCAGATGGGGTGAAGGTCAGTGTCAGGTTGCGAAGCCTTGGCAGGGACTCTGGTATCTGTCTCATGAGCTATGGAGATGACTTGCAGATATTCTCAGTAGTTTACTGAGTCCTCCTGATGACTGTTTGGAGAAGGTATGGGATTAACCTTACACATGAGGAAACCGAGGCATGGGGAGATGGAACGCTCATTTGAGGTAGAGTTAGGCCTTGAAACCTGAAAGTCCAGAGCGCTCAGGGAAGGGACTCGGGTTCTAAGTCCCGGGCCCATCAGATCTCCCCATCTGGAGCTTAGGAGAGACGCCTGAGGCCCTTGGGTCCTCAGCCAGTGTGGAATTCGTCTGCAAGAGCTGGTGCACAGGCTGGGCAGAAACCACAATATCCTCACCAGGGAAGGAGGAAGGAGGGCCTGACAGAGCATCTGGTTCGTTGGGAGGGGACCCGGCAGACCATGAGGGTGCCGCCCCACACGCAGAGGTCTGAAAGGCTACAGAAGGTGAGTTCCAAAAATGAAGTGGCCATTCCTCTAGAGACAGGGTAAGTGGAAGGCAATTGTCTCTAGGGGGCAAGAGTGGGGAATTCTTCCTTCTCTCACGTCACTCTTTCCCAAATGGTCTGTAGAAGAAATGTCTTGAATGTGTAATGGAAAAAAAAAACAAAAACCTTTAATCAAAATAAGACAACCTTGGAGTGCCTGGGTGGCTCAGTTGCTGAAGCATCTGCCTTAGGCTCAGGTCATGATCTGAGGGTCCTGGGATCGAGTCCCAGGTCGGGCTCCCTGTTCAGTGGGGAGCCTGCTTCTCCCTCTGCCTCTGTGATCTCTCTCGCTCTCACTATCTCTTAAATAAATAAATAAATATCTTTTAAAAAAATGAAACAAGCCAAAATACTAAAGTATGCTCCCCAGAGCTGTTTCCCCTCCTTTCCCAGCCTTCACCTGCACGCGGCCGCTTCTGGTGCCACAGCTTCTGTGCTTTCAGCCAAGAGGCTCACACGACAGGAACCCTCAGAGAATCGCTCAACACCCCTGCTGCTCCCCGTTAAGCTCCATGACTCAAATTCTGTTGCTGCATTCAGGGGAAGTCTAGTGAAGAAAATGAAACCTGAAAGAGGTCCGATAACCCTGTCCAGTTTTACGGTTGTTGTTGCTGTTGGGTATTCTGGCGATCTGCCTCCCTCAGCTTGTACATAAAGTGACACTCTTGCTACTCAGCAGGCGTTCGGGGGACTGTGGAGAAGAAAACACTGGCAGACTTCAACATTTACAGGAGCTCTTCCAATTTTCCTGATTCTTACAGGTAAGATCTGCTTGCCTGCTTAGAATAATGTCTTCAGAGATGCAAATGCATTAATGAGGGTCACATGGATATTCTTTGCTGTGAACCAGAAGGGCGTTTAGTGGCCATGTTTTTCTCCCCTCTGCGTGTCCCGCCACCGGCTGCTGTGTGGCAGGGCTCCAAGGGCACCCTGTCCCCACCGTCCCCTGGAGACAACCATTCTCCTTGATTTCTGGTTTGCCTTTCATGGTTTCTTTTGGAAAAATAAATACCTATATACATGTATTTATATTTTCCCTTCTTATACAAAAAGCAGCCTACTAATAGACTCTTTTCACCTTGTTATGTTCACTTCACAATATACCCTGGGAATCAAGCCATATCAGTTCATAGAAACTTTCCTGTTTCTTTTTTTTTTTTTTTTTTAAGATTTTACTTATTTATTTGAGAGAGAGCACAAAGCGGGAAGAGAGGCAGAGGGAGAGGGAGAAGCAGACTCCCCACTGAGCAGAGAGCCCGACGTGGGGCTTGATCCCAGGACCCTGAGATCATGACCCGAGCTGAAGGCAGATGCTTAACCGACCAAGCCACCCAGGCACCCCAAAACTTTCCTGTTTCTTTACGGCTGCATAGGGGATGGGGATATACCATCCTGAGATATACCAGAATTAATTCAACCAGTCTCTGATGGTTGGACATTGAGCGTATTCCAATACTTTGCTATTACCAAGTAATAGCTCAGTGAATAACTTTGTACACAGATGATCGCACATTTGTGAAGATGTACCTCAAATGTAGACTTTAGCCACTGGGGTATGGATGTGGTCTGAGACCGTGTGTGTGTGTGTGTGTGTGTGTGTGTGTGTGTACAAGGAAGGAAGAAAATGTGATGTGTGACTCCCACGGAGGGCTGGCTTAATGTGTCTGCAATAGATGGTCTTATCTGTTGAAAACAAAAGAACACCTTGATAATCTGCTCTGGGCATGAAAAGCATGGCTCCCAAGGCTTGGCAGTAAGCAGAGAAACAAAGATACAAGTGGCATTGTCTAAGAAATAAACACAATCCTGGGTGGGAGTGGGGAGAAGACATAAAAAGGCACTAAGAGTACAGTGGAGGTTCAGCCTTCTGGAAACACAGTAGCCAGAGGCAAGCTGTGCGCATTATAAACACCCCCACCAACCACAGCCCTCACGCACGCCCACGGCACACACGGAGCCCAGGCCGCGGAATCTCAAAGAACAGGGTGACCTCAGCTGCTCCCGCTGTTTCAACAGAAAAATTACTTACACCCACTCTGCATAAGCTACATTTTGTTCATATCCTAAAAGTCACCTCATCCAACAATGCAGTATCATGCCCATGTTTCAAAGGATGTTTGGGGGACTCACACAGAGGCTCTCACAGGGCGGGGGGTCAGAATGGACACTGGAGCACGGGACTCAGGCAGAGGTTTCTGCAGGGGCCCCAGCAGGATGACAGACGAGCAGCCTGCTCATGTCAGAGAACATGCGGGACCCTCAGAATGATGAAGCCCTTGGAGGCCCCTCGGCAGCAGGAGCAGCGGGATCCAGAAGCTGCCATCGTCGAGCCTCCAGCTGTGCCCCTAGGGGGGACGCGGGCTTGCAAACTACCCAAAGATGGCTTGTCTGTGCTGCATCTTGTATCCTAGCAACTAGAATGGTGCTCTGCTCAGCATAAGCCCTCCTGAGCCGGCATGGAGCTGCCCTCCCACCCAAGCCCCTACAGGAAGCCGAGAAGACATGCTTTCAGTAAAGAGGTTGTCCACAACACCGTCACAAGCTAGAGACCCCAAACACCACAAGTAAGTGGGACTTACATGGAAGGAAGGAAACCATAGCCCAAAAGGACAAGGAATGGAACCCAAGTTGAGGTGGCCCATGTTCGAGTCAGGAGGTGTCGGGTACAAGGTGGGAGCTGGAGCACCGACAGGGTGATCCGTGGAGATCTTAGGGGCAGACACACTCACTCACACATACATATGCAGATGTGAGAGTGCAGTCAACACCTACTCCCATAGAGAATTCCATGAGCTCACAGAATACGAGCTGTAGCAGAGGGCTAAACCCTTTGGTATTAATATGAACAGACCAGAAAGTAACCTTCTGTAAAACCAGGTTGCCGCCTACTGTCAAAGTACATTTGGTGTCTCAAAACAGTCATATTTGTGCAATATATGAGCTAGGAAAAAGTACATCCATACACACACAGGTAAATACAGAAATTAGAGAAATAACTTCAGGGGGTGTTCGCTCCTTTCTTATCTTGCCCGTATGAGACTGGTTTTATTTTGCAAAGTTTGGTTCATGGTTTTAGTGATGAGCAACAGAGGCAAATGTGGGAAAGAGACCCTTCTAATTACTAAGGAAATCGCTGTTCTAATATTTTCACGAGGCATGTTGAGAAATAAACCAAATCCAGAGGGACAGGATGGGGTGGGAAGCGGCTTTCAGGTGCTGTCAGTCAACCCAAATCATCATGTCTCAGTCAGCTTTTGCTGCATAGCAAACCTCTCCAAAACTTAATGGTTTAAAACAAGGATCACTTATCAGTTCAGGATTCCGTGGCCAGCAGTTCCTCTGGGGCAGCTGAGATTCTCTGACTGGCCGCAGGCTCACTCCCGCATCAACGGTCAGCTGTCATCTGTTAGGGAGCTGGCAGGGCTGAACACTGCCCCTCAAAATATCGGGTCCTCATCCCTGTAAATGTTGCCTTCTATGGAAAAGCGATCTTTGTGGACAACTAAATTGAGAGTCTTGAGATGGGGGACTGTCCTGGATTTCGCAGGTGGGCCCTAAATGCTTCCACGAGTGTCCTCACAGGGAGGGCCAGAGGGAGGCTCCGGACAGAGCAGAGGAGGGGCTGTAAGAGGGCAGCGTGGAGATCAGCCTGGCCTGGGCTTACTCACATGCTGCTGCACAGCAGGGGAAGGCGTTTCAAGCCCCTGCTTGGAGCGGGTTTCCTGATGTCTCGTTGGCCAGAGAAGTCACGTGGACGAGGCCGGAGTCCACGGCTGGAAGGGAGCAGTGAAAGCAGGAGCAAAGGGGCGGGCCTGCAGGGTGGGAAGGATTGGTAACCGCTCGGAAATCTGCCACTTACCCGCTCCTTCAGCCCCAAAGGCCAGGCAAACAGACTTCCAACACTAAAATCCCCACCTTAAAATGCCTCCAGGGCCCCCAGGGACTTGCTGCTTCTTGGGAGGATTTTCCACTCTGCAGGTTGCCATTCTTGGTCTCTTCTGGCTGCCATCACAAGTATAGCATAGACTGGGGGCTTCAGCAAGACACGTATTCCTCACCATCTGCAGGAGCCCGAAGATTCAGTCTGTGGGGAGGGCCGCTTCCTGCTTCGGGCACCCATCTTCCCACTATGTCTCCGAGTGGCAGACGGGCACAGGACCTCCCAGCAGCGTCTTCTGTAAGGGCACTAATCCCCATTAGTGTCTGCACCCTCATGACCACATCCCTCCCAAAGGTCCCGTCTTTTAATACCATCACACTAGGGGGGGCTAGGGTTTCAACATGAACTTTGGGAGGACAGAATTCAGCCCCTGACATAAAATTCATGTCCTTCCTACATGCAAATGCACTCACTGCATCCCAACAGCCCCAGAGTCCTAAAGCACTCCAGCTCCTACTTTGAAGTCGGACCTGAGGTAGCAGATTCCTCTCCAGCTGGGAACCTCTGAAACCAGACAAATCATGTGCTTCCCAGATACAATGATGGGACACATTCCCACTCCAAAGGGGAGAAATAGTAAAGAAGAAAGGGGAGAGTGATCCCAAGTAAGTCCAACCACAAGACAAACTCCACAAGATCTAAGGCTTAAGAATAATCCTCTTTAGGGCGCCTGGGTGGCTCAGTTGGTTGAGCAACTGCCTTCAGCTCAGGTCATGATCCTGGAGTCCCGGGATCGAGTCCTGCATCGGGCTCCCTGCTCAGCAGGGAGTCTGCTTCTCCCTCTCCCGCTCCCCCCTCTTGTGCTCGCTCTCTCTCTCAAATAAATTAATAAATAAAATCTTAAAAAAAAAAAAAAAAGAATCCTCTTTAGCGCAGTGCTCTGCCTCGCAAGGTGGTAACATCACCCCTACAGTTCCATGGGATGGCCCACGGCAGCTCTCCGGGCCTGGGCTCCTGTGCCCAGGCTCCAGGCAGCTCTGTCCTTCGAAACCTGGGCAGAGGTTTCATGCACCCTGAGCCCGTGCACCCTGCACACTGGCAGAGACGGCACTGCACCTCCCAGAGTGGAGGCCACCACAGCCCCTACCACACCAGGGCCCCGCAGAGCCACACCTGGGGCAGCAGAGGAGTGGCGCCGGGCAGCACCTGCCGAGGTCCCACAGGCACCAGGGGCCCCTCCTTTGATGGGAACGGCAGCTCCGTTGATCTCTGAACTGCTGCTTCCATTGTCTCGGAGAGTAGCCCCCGGCTTCTGTGGAGACAGCTGACCCATACTGACCTTGTCAGTCACTTGGCCACACTCTAGTGCTCTCATTTTTTGCAATATGGATAGGCTGAGACTTTTCCAAATCTTTAAGTTCTGCTTTCTTTCTGCTTAATGATTTCATGTCTCTCTTCTCACATTTTGTCATAAGCAGTCAGGAGCAGGCAAACCACACCTTCAACAGTTTGCGTGGAAAGGGCTTCAGCCACGTATCCAATTCCATCCCTTGCAAGTCCTACCTTCAATAAATCACTAGGCTATGAACCCAACTGAGGCTCGTTCTTTGCCCTTTCTAACAAGACGGCCCCTCCCCACGTAGCCCCTAATGTGCTCCCACGTCCGTCAGAGGCCGTCAGAGTGGCCCTCTCGCCCACATTTCCTCCCACATCCCGGTCAGGATTACCCAGCGATTCCTCTGGATTAGAGCTCCACAGCCCTCCCCTTCCCTTCCGCACCCTCAACGGAGTCACCACTGCAGGTCCAAGCACAGCAGGGCGCCTTTCCTAGCTCCTCAGAGCGCCTCCAGCTTCTGCCCGTCACCCGGCTCCAAAGCCACGTCCCCGCTTTCTAGGTGTTTGTAACAGTGGCAGGAGCCCACTGCTCTGCGCCGATTTCCGTCTTCATCCCTTTGCTGCTGGAACAAAACAGCATGGACTGGGTGGCTTGTAAACAACAAAAACTTATCCCTCCCACTCTGCAAACTGTGCCTCCTGCTCCCCACGGAGGTCTTATCACTGCCCCTACACTCCACACTCATTCCTACCCCAGGAATTTCCCACATGCCATGCCTCTGATCTCAGCATCCTCTGGGTCTTCCTGTGCTCCACCTCTGTCACTGCACATCTGCTCACATGCCACCTGTGGAAAAGCACCCCCTGGCGCACCCCAGCCCCTACCCACTCACCACTGTCTCAGCTGGCCTCATCCATGCTTTACTGCACTGCGTCTCTCCCCGGCCAGGCCCCAGCTACGGGATGAAGCGTCCTTCTCATCATGTCACCAGCTGTGTCCCCGGCAGCCGGGGCACAGCAGCTCAACATTCATCGAGTGAATAAATTGCAGCAGTTAAGGGATCAACCCAAGGTCACTGAGGAGTGTCAGGGCTTATGCCACAGAGATTGTCATTGAGCATTTTGAGTGGTTTCTTCCTTACTTGAGACGAGGGGTGGGGGCGCTATATTCTTCCTGGACCTTGTCTACACCACCAAATCCAGTCAGAAAGAAATTAAAGATCATGTGTGAGGCGGTCCTGTGTATTGGACCCCAGCGTTGTCCTTGGACTGTGAGCCACCGCCCCCCCTTTTTCATAGGGCTCCCCAGTGGCTCCGTCAGGGTGTGGACTCAAGAGCAGACACTGGGGTGGACTGAATGCGTCTGTTCTTTTAAAACAGCCTTGCGGGGCGCCTGGGCGGCTCAGTCGTTGGGCGTCTGCCTTCGGCTCAGGTCGTGATCCCGGGGGGTCCCTGCTCGGTGGGGAGCCTGCTTCTCCCTCTGCCCCTCCCCCTGCTTGTGTTCCCTCTCTCGCTGTGTCTCTGTCAAATGAATAAATAAAATCTTTAAAAATAATAACAGCAGGTGAAGGGGCGCCTGGGTAGCTCAGCCGTTAGGCGTCTGCCTTCGGCTCGGGTCATGATCCCAGGGTCCTGAGGTCAGGCCCCGCATCGGGCTCCGTGCTCAGCGGAGAGCCTGCTTCTCCCTCTCCCACTCCCCCTGCTTGTGTTCCCTCTCTCGCTGTCTCTCTCTCTCTCTAATAAATAAAATCTTTAAAAAAATAACAATAAAGGGGCGCCTGGGTGGCTCAGTCGTTAAGCGTCTGCCTTCGGCTCAGGTCATGATCCCAGGGTCCTGGGATTGAGCCCCACATCGGGCTCCCTGCTCCGCGGGAAGCCTGCTTCTCCCTCTCCCACTCCCCCTGCTTGTGTTCCCGCTCTCGCTGTGTCTCTGTCAGATACATAAATAAGTAAAACAGCCCCGCGTTTTTCTCCTGCTCGGTTTTGGAGGTTGACGGGCTCACTCCTGGGCTGCGTCTCCTGCAGGCTCACCTGGGGCAGGTGGTGACACAGAACCTCTCTCTCCCACCCAGTGGCCCGCACTCCTCCCAGGACACCCTCGGGGCTTTGGGGGCGGAGCGAAGGTTCTGGGGGTGCTGACCTCGGCCGGTAGGGGCTTCTGTTGGCCGCATCAGGCGCTCTGTCGCCTTCGCAGCGTTGGACCGGTCGCAGCAGTCCCAGGCCCCGCCCATACTCAGGCTAGCGAGGTCACCCTCCGGAGGACCGCTGGGATGGAGGTGGTGCCGCGCGACTGACCGCTCGCCTGCCCTGGGGCCTGGCCGCTGTGCAGAGACGCCGCTGAGGCTGTTTCCCCGGCGGCCGCCCACCTCTGCCCACGAAGCTCAGAGATTCCAAGGGCCGCGCGCAGCCCCACCCCTGCCCGCACCTGCCAGTGAGACCTCAGCAGCTAATCCGCGGGCCCCTTGAGGCCGGGACTCGAGAGAGGCCTCCTCCTCCCCTCCCACTACTGCTTTTCCGAAAAGGAGTAAAGGAAACCTCACTTAAACGAAGTCAGGAAGATGGGGCGCCTGGGTGGCTCAGCCGGCGAAGCGTCTGCCTTCGGCTCAGGTCACGATCCCGGGGTCCCAAGTTTGAGCCCCGCATCGGCTCCCTGCTCGGCGGGGAGCCTGCTTCTCCCTCTGCCCCTCGCCCTGCTTGTGCGCATTCTCTCTCTCAAATAAATAAAATCTTTTTAAAAATAAAGTAACATAAAGTCAGGGCGCCCTGAAGGGGAAACGCATGCCTTACCACTTGCTGCATAGTTCAGCAGGAAGAGGGAAGATTTCCTCTCGGCCCTGCTCCGCAAGCTGCCATCACCTGCCGCCAACGAGAAGCCTGGCCCTCCAAAGGCCCTCCGTGCCACTTTATAGAGAAGCCCCGCCTTCTCTATAAAGAGCCTCCTCGCCTTGGGTCTCCAGGCTGGCCCGCGGTGCCCACAGGGCGCTTGTCCTCGGTTGCAGTTCCTCTGCTCTTCCTGAATAAACCCATTTTGTTGGTAAAATAACTATTTTGTCTTTTAGGGTCAACGCTTTCCTGGCTCTGAGTCATCCAGCCCTGCATGAAAAGTGGAGAAGCCAGCTTGAAGTCTTCAACTTTCTCTCATCTGTTTATTCGGTGGCCTAGCCCAAATAAGCAGTTAACAGAGTAACAGTGTCTGAAATCACTAGAATCCACTTTTGCCGGCTACATGGCCTTAAGAAGCAACCAGTAAGGAATTTTGTCCTTCAAAAAACGTTTCTTGGGGCGCCTGGGAGGCTCATTCAGTGAAGCATCTGCCTTCGGCTCGGGTCATGATCCCGGGGTCATGGGATCGAGTCCCGCATCGGGCTCCCTGCTCCTTGGGAGCCTGCTTCTCCCTCTCCCTCTGCTGCTCCCCCTGCTTGTATGCATTCTCCCTCTCTCTTAAATAAATAAATAAATAAACAAACAAACAAACAAACAAACAAACAAATAAATAAATAAAATCTTTTTAAAAACCACAAACATTTCTTACTTGCTCTGAAGCCAGTTTTCGTCTGATGTTGCTTTGGGCTTTGCAGACTATGACCCATTCCTGGGTTTCCTGACGGGACACCATTTACAGATGAAACTTGTTATTAGGCTAACCCAGGAGTAACCCACCTGCTCAGGACACCAAATTGACTTCCCTTTATTGAGCTGTGTTGTGTAGTTGTATTTGAGAAAAGTGTAGATGTTTTTAGATGTTTTCTGCTGAGATTCATAAATATACTTTTGGAACAATTTAAAGTGAATCTTTTGTAATCTACCAGTGATCCTAATGTGTGATCATACTATATTATCAGGTTTGTAAAATGTATAGATTATAAAAAAGAAATTCTGAAAAGAAGATACAGAACTGATGCTATATTCATTCATTAATTACTGAAAAGTTGGATTGGCTCCTCATCAGGTTGTGTTGAATGGAAACATTGTTCAAATTTATGAAATGATTATTCACAATTTAGAGTACTTTTGGGGCAAAAAGTAGTTATTCATTCAACAAATATTAGTGTTACAGGTGCTAGGGCACATCAGTGAACGAACAAACATTTTGCCCTAATGAGATTTATGTCCTAGTGCAGAGATGGGAATGTAGAAAGAACAGTTGGGTTTTATTAATGTAACAGACCAGGAAGCATGTGACTTTTATCTTGGATACAAAGAAAGGATAAGGTGCACTTGAAAGATGCTGAAAAGAGGGGTGCCTGGGTGGCTCAGTCATTAAGCGTCTGCCTTTGGCTCAGGTCATGATCCCAGGGTCCTGGGATCGAGCCCTGCATCGGGCTCCCTGCTCTGCGGGGAGCCTGCTTCTCCCTCTCCCGTTCGCCCTGCTTGTGTTCCCTCTCTCGCTGTGTCTCTCTCTGTTAAATAAATAAATAAAATCTTAAAAAAAAAAAAAAGATGCTGAAAAGAACTTCAACAAATACAATTTTACCAACACAAATTCAAATTGTTACATAAGATTTTTGATATGGAAAATCAGTATAAAATGTAATAGATTTATTTATATCTATTTATATGTATATGTAAACATGCAAATTTTTTATATTTAATAGGTTTACTTATTTTATACTTCTTTTGATGAAAATGTCTAGACATACACAGAAATAGTGCAGTGGGCCTCATGCACATCACCCAGCTTTGGCAATTATCAGCATTTTGCCATATTTGTTTCACTAATCTTCACCTTTCTTTTTGCTGGAGTAATTTCAAAGAAAACCCCAAACACCATGTCATTTCACCTGCAAAACCAACAGTCCCATCTCAAATAAAAAAGACATTTTCTGGGGTGCCTGGGCAGCTCAGCTGGTTCAGTGTCTGACTCTTCATTTCAGCTCAGGTCTTGGGATCAAGGTTGGGCTCCGCCCTCAGCGGGGAGTCTGCTTGTCCCTCTCCCTGCCCCTCCCCCTGCTCTCTCTCTCTCTCTCTCACTCTCGTTCTCTCAAATAAATAAAATCTTTAAAAAAAAGAGAGAGACGTTTTCTTATTTGACCACAATGGCATTTTCACACCTATGAAAATTCACCATAATTTCTTAATGTCAGTACCTATTTCACACTTAAACTTGCCATATTGTCTGAAAAAGAAAAATGTTCTTCCATGGTTGGTTTCATTCCCATCAGGATTCAAACATGGCATACACACTGTATTTTGTTCCTGTGTCTCCTAAACCTGTTCCTTACCAAGCCCTCTCTCTCAGCCCACCCTCTCTGAGCGTGGACAGGATCTGTCCTGTCACTGCCATGTCAAGTGACTGAGTCGTGTATCCTTCCCCCAGAATTCCTAAATTCAGACCTGGCTTCCCGTTCCCGTGGACTGCTGTTTCACTAGTCCTTCTACCATCTGTTTCCTGCAGAGTAGAAGTTAGCTCTAAATGTTTGACTAGATGCAGGATCCATTTTTTTCCCAGAATATTTAAGTAACTAAATATGTTTTTTAAAAAAATGAATGGTAGTCCCGGGAGCAAGATGGCGGAGGAGTAGGAGACCTGGATTTCGTCTCCTCTCAGGAATTCAGCTGGATAGGGATCAAACCAATCTGAACACCTATGAACTCAATAGGAGATCGAAGAAAAGAAGAGCAACAACTCTCTGAACAGAAAAGCGACCACTTTCTGGAAGGTAGGACGTGCGGAGA